ACACTTGCATTGAAGGACTTTTTGGTTAATTTATATTAATATACACCTTTAGTCAAATTTACTTCATTTTTATTAATTTTTCACTAGTATTTTCATCTTTATTTTGTATTAGAAGAAGCATTGTCAGCCATTATTATTAATTTTTGACTAGTATTTACTTTCATCATCATTTTTTATTAGATGAAGCATTGTCAGCCATTATTCATAATTTTTGACTAGTATTTACTTTCATCTTCATTTTTTATTAGATGAAGCATTGTCAGCCATTATTATTAATTTTTGACTAATATTTACTTTCACCTTCATTTTTTATTAGATGAAGCATTGTCAGCCATTATTAATTTTGACTAGTATTTACTTTCATCTTCATTTTTATAATGTTGAACATTGTCAGCCATTATTATTAATTTTTGACTAGTATTTACTTTCATCTTCATTTTTTATTAGATGAAGCATTGTCAGCCATTATTATTAATTTTTGACTAATATTTACTTTCACCTTCATTTTTATTAGATGAAGCATTTATTATTATTAATTTTTGACTAGTATTTACTTTCATCTTCATTTTATATTAGATGAAACTGCACATTATTATTAATTTTCGACTCTTTCATCTTCATTTTTATTAGATATTGTAATTATTCATAATTTTAGTATTTACTTTCATCTTCATTTTTATTATTTATTAGATTTTTTGAAATATTTTTTCACCTTCATTTTTTATTAGATATTCATTATTATTAATTTTGACTAGTATTTACTTTCATCTTCATTTTTATAATGTTGAAGCATTTCATTATTATTATTTTTTATTTACTTTCATCTTCATTTTTATTAGATGAAGCATTGTCAGCCATTATTATTAATTTTTGACTAATATTTACTTTCATCTTCATTTTTTTTTAGATGAAGCATTGTCAATTATTATTACTTTTTGACTAGTATTTACTTTCATCTTCATTTTTATTAGATGAAGCATTGTCAGCCATTATTATTAATTTTTGACTAGTATTTACTTTCATCTTCATTTTTATTTGATTCATTGTTTCATTATTATTAATTTTGACTAGTATTTACTTTCATCTTCATTTTTTTATTAGAAGAAGCATTGTTATTATTATTAATTTTTTAGTATTTACTTTCATCTTCATTTTTTATTAGATGAAGCATTGTCATTATTTATTAATTTTTGACTAGTATTTACTTTCATCTTCATTTTTTATTTAAGCATTGTCAGCCATTATTATTAATTTTGACTAGTATTTACTTTCATCTTCATTTTTATTAGATGAAGCATTGTCAGCCATTATTATTAATTTTTAGTATTTACTATTGTCAGCCATTATTATTAATTTTCGACTAGTATTTACTTTCATCTTCATTTTTTATTAGATGAAACATTGTCAGCCATTATTATTAATTTTTGACTAGTATTTACTTTCATCTTCATTTTTATTAGATGAAGCATTGTCAGCCATTATTATTAATTTTTTGACTAATATTTACTTCATTTTTTTATTAGATGAAGCATTGTCAGCCATTATTATTTATTAGATGAAGCACTGTCAGCCATTATTATTATTTTTTGACTAGTATTTACTTTCATCTTTATTTTTATTAGATGAAGCATTGTCAGCCATTATTATTAATTTTCAACTAGTATTTACTTTCATCTTCATTTTATATTAGATGAAGCACTGTCAGCTATTATTATTAATTTTCGACTAGTATTTACTTTCATCTTCATTTTTTATTAGATGAAGCATTGTCAGCCATTATTCTTAATTTTTGACTAGTATTTACTTTCATCTTCATTTTTTATTAGATGAAGCATTGTCAGCCATTATTCTTAATTTTTGACGAGTATTTACTTTCATCTTTATTTTTTATTAGATGAAACATTGTCAGCCATTATTCTTAATTTTTGACTAGTATTTACTTTCATCTTCATTTTTTAGCCATTATTATTAACTTTTCAAAACTACCTACTATACATTAAAGTAATTATTATTTAGAATGAATAATAAAATTTGTCAATATGTTCTCTAATATGTTAAGAGGAAAATAAGCTCTTATAAAAGTTAACAATTTAATTTTTAAACGAGAAACAATACTGCTGCTATTCGATCGTTTGCTTAGCATATTTAAATCCAGATTTCGCTTCCCCTTATTGCATAAGAGGGACAAAATTCCGAATATGAAAGTCAATCGATTAGATTTTGCCATTTTTAATCCTCTGGAGAGACTGGTTAAGTCGGGATTTATAGACGTTTTCCTTCTGATGATATTCTTATGGCATTTCCGGCATTATATCATTGCCGAGTCGATCTTATTTAAACGACACCGGAAAGAAGGTCTTGTTTTTATCTGTGTTGCCGCGGCAAGAGAACAGAGCTGGTTTGGTTTAGAATGTTTGATATTCGCCATATATCAGAAAACCCGAAGAATAGAACACTATCTGGATTTCTTTGTTTAGAGTTGTTTTTTTTTGTGGAGGTGGGACGCATAATCTGGCATGATCAACAGTTTGAATAACGACCGTACGCTAAAAACTCTCGGTCACGATGACTTGGGACTTCGTGCTCGCATGACCATCGACGAATTCAGGACAGTTCCGTTTTATTCATTTACACTCACGGTATGGTTTCCAGATACTTCCCAACGGCGCCGGTCGCTAGAATTCCCTTCTAATTCCAAGAAGCCATCTCCCTGGCAAATCGATCATGGTCGAATATACAGGGGTTAGGCAAAATAATGTGAACAGCTTGCAAAAATAGCAATTTTTTATTTTCTTTCCGGCATTTCGTGGCTTTTTTAAACATCAAACCGGCATAAAATTAACTGCTCAGCATTTCAATCGTTTAGCTTGCATTTCCACTTAAGTAAGTCATTATTTATCTTCAGGTAAAAGAGTTACAAACTAAAATCCGGGACCTGTCGGATTTTCAAAGAGGACAAATAGTTGGTGCTTTATTAGCAGGGGCATCTGTGACCAAAATGTCTTAATTATTGAATGTGTCACGATCTGTAGAGTCCAAGGTTATGACAGCTTACATAAAACAAGACAAAATACCATCAGCAAAGAATAATAGTGGACGGAAAGCAAAGTCTACCAAAAGCGAGCAACGAGCTTTAAAACGAATTGTGGGAAAACATCATCAAACTACTGCAGCAAAAGTGACACCAGAATTCATTACTCACCTAACCAATACAATTTCTACACGCACAGTACGTTGAGGGCTCCACAAAGCTGATATCCACGGAAGGTCTGCGATTCTTAAACCTCTGATAACAAGTTGCGAAAAAATGGTATGAGATCACAAAAATTGGACACTCGAAGAAAGGAAAAACGTTATTTGGTCAGATGCGTCTTCTTCACGTTATTTATTACAAACGGGCGGGTTTATGTATGAAGAACACTGCGGGAATCCTTTTGGCATAGTGTCCCGACAATCAAACATGGAGGTTGCTCAGTAATGTTTTGGGCGGCAATTTCCTATTATCCTTCTGGTTCTATCATCACTCTTAGAAGTAAAATTATTGCAGATAAATACCTCGACATTTTCAATGACAATATCCTTACAATGGCTACCATACTGTTAAAAGAAAGTTCCATATTCCATAAACGATTATGCACCCATTTTGCCCTGCAAAAAAAGTCTTCATTTGATGAGCATCGTAACGTAATTAAATATTTTCCATGGCCGGCACAATTACCTGATAATTGAGCCATTATGGGGAGTTCTAAAGCAAGAATGAAGAACAGATTCCCTCCCCTGAAGAAACTGTCTTAGATTTTGATTGGAGGATGGCATGAAATTCCATTGGAAACAAAAATTTATTTGATTCCATCCCACTTAGAGTTAGAGCAGTTTTAGAAGCTAATGGAGGTTTAACGAATTATTAGTCAATAAATAAATGTTTAAACCAGGTGTTTATGTTATTTTATCTAATCCCTGTATGTAAAAAAAAAAAGGTAAAACTGATTTTATGAAAGCCGGTAAATTAGCAAGCAAACATTAAAACAATGTTGATTTGATGCAAGCATATTATTTTTAAAAAATTGGAACTCTTCAAAGGGGGCACTTATTAAAAAGGAAACCACTCACATATAAAGCAGTTGGAAAATTTATATCCAATAACGTGAAAAATTCTGATTATTTTCTCTTCTTTCCTTTGTTGGTATGCGCGATTCACACTTGGGGGATCATGTCTTTTTTCAACTCATGGTTGTCGTTTTCGTATCAGATAAGACTGGACATAAAGTGAGAGATCGGTTTCCTATTACCATTAAGTACTAAATGGATCATCGCAGAATTGCTACATGCTAATATCATTCCTGAGATCGCATGCGGGAATCATGCTTCAGGATAATATTACTACTAATACTACTAGTGGAAATAAAGCAAATGAAATGAAGATGAAAGAAATACTAGTGAAAAATGAATAAGAATTGACAAGGCTTCATCTAATAATAATAATAAAATTCTAGATAATATTACTACTAATACTACTAGTGGAAATAAAGCAAATGAAATGAAGATGAAAGAAATACTAGTGAAAAATGAATAAGAATTGACAAGGCTTCATCTAATAATAATAATAAAATTCCAGATAATATTACTACTATTACTACTAGTGGAAATAAAGCAATTGAAATGAAGATGAAAGAAATACTATTGAAAAATGAATAAGAATTGACAAGGCTTCATTTAATAATAATAATAAAATTCGACTACTAATAAAAGCTGGTGGAATTAAAATAAAAAAATATATTAATCAGAAATTAATTACAAATGGCGCATAAAAAGAATGAAAATATAGTCCCGGCCGTTTGTGTAATGGGGTTTGTTATACGAAGTAACAAAAATAAGATAAATTGATAGTAAAATGCATTAATAACTGACAATGCTTCCTCAAAGGAATTGTAATATCATTATGGCGTTATTGATCTAATACAAATCAGCCTATCCTGCTTGAGTATCATATCAAAATGCTT